CTCCAGCTCTGAAAGTATTCGACGCAGTACTCGCCGGGGGAAGCAGAGGAAGAGGAAGACCTCCACTCCGTTGGAAGGACCAAGTGGAGAAGGACCTGAAGAAGAAACGACTGGCGCGCTGTTGTCAACTCGGCTATAATCGCGTAAGCGGTGACTRCGCCAATCAAGAAGAAGAAGATTGCTGGAAGTCATACGACTGTATGTCCAGTCACGGGTATGAGCACCGACGGGTTAATCACAGCGCCCCCATTAATCCGTTCGGCGCCGAGCACGGAACCTACACTCAACGCATCGAGTGCCAGTGGCCCGTAATTAAACGTTTTTATATTAAAGAAAATTATAATAATTGTGAAAAGTGCATAATATGAAATAAATAATTACTAGAAATCGAGAAATTGCAAGATAAAATTTGCAAAATTTTCATCATTAAATGCAAATATCTCGAAAACTATAAGTTTGCGGCGGCAACAATTATATATTTTCTTAATCTGTATCTGAATTCGCGAACTTATTACAAAACGGCTCTAATATGCCAACGAACATGTCAACTGGCAACCGGAAAAATTGAGAAATATTTTATGGAAAGACGAATGTAAGGTTGTTTTAGTTGGTAGCACAGGGTCTAGGCAGTATATCCGTAGTCTATAAAATACGGAATATGATCCGCAATACACTCTTAAAGCCATCGGCACGATTCCGATTACTTTGGCACAGGGGTAAAAAAACCGAATTTCCGTATGGGGTATGTCGGGATAGGGGAACTTCTCCAGAGGAGGAATATCCAAAAATAATATAAAAATTACTTATATTTTTAAAAATTTTCACGATTAAAAGTTCAAAAACATGCACTAATAACACAAGGTATTTCTCTATCTTCCATTCAATTTATTCACGTTTTTCACTCTGTATATTTAAATATACACTTTACACATTGAAATAAGTCCACATTTCAATTTTGTTTTGCAATATTTCACCTAAATTTATTAATTTAAAAATCACTTAGCGAACTCGGCGTTGCAAAGGTTAGATTGTTTACAATTATGAGGAAATCGAGCGTTGCCACATCCTAAACACCAAATATGTAGGATTCTTAACGATTTTTCTTTGTTTGTTTTTTTTTTTTTGCCTTCATGTCGGGATGACTGAAGTACTTTAAAAAAATATCCCTGGCCGAGCGAATACCCGGGGTGACTGAAGTACTTTCGCGTAGTAAAGCTTTGTGCGTTAGCGGCCTTCGGCCGCGCTTTAAAAAAATAGCCCTGGCCGACTGAATACCCGGGTGGACTGAAGTATTTCGCGGAGCACTCCTTTCTGCGGTGGCGGACTTCGGGCGCGCTTTAAAAAAATAACCCTGGCTGAGCGAATACCCGAGTGGACGAAGTATTTCACGGAGCACTCCTTTCTGCGTTGGCGGCCTTCGGCCCGCTTTAAAAAAATAACCCTGGCCGAGCGAATACCCGGGTGGACTGAAGAATTTCGCGGAGTACTCCTTTCTGCGTTGGCGGCCTTCGGCCGCGCTTTAAAAAAATAACTCTGGTCAAGCGAATACTCGGGTGGACTGAAGTACTTTGGCGGAGTGCTAGATTCTACGTTGGCGGCCTTCGGCCGCGCTTTAAAAAAATAACCCTAGTCGAGCGAATACTCGGGTGGACTGAAGTACTTCGCGTACTACTCCATTCTGCGTTAAAAAAAATATGTTTATTGAGTTTTTGTTATAAAGTAGTTAAAGTGTTGTTGGTTACCATGTACTCATATTGAACGAAAATTTGAATTTTCGTACTGTACTAATATACTTTACACTTTATTACGTAATATTATTATATAATATTACTTAATATTATTATATAATATTACTAATACATGTATATAATATTACTTATTTGCTTAATAAATTTAAAAAAGAAAATATCCACATGCATGAATAGAGGAATTTTTGCGAAAAAGAGGAATTTCAGCGAATTGCCTTATCACATGGTTGCGCTCCATTTCGTCGTAATTTTTGGTAAACAAATGGGGTTAAAACGAGTGTAAAGTGTAATTTTTAAAATGCAGATTTTTTAGGTAAAAATCCTGCAACAAGTGTAAGATATGGAGTAATTTACAAGTTTATAGTGTAATTTAATTCATTTGAAGTGAAAAATGTGAATAAAGTGTGTTTAATGTGGTGAAATAGCGTCTTGAAATGAACGAATATTGCGAATTTTTGAACTTTAAGGTCGAATATCTCCTAAACTAAGCGTTTGCGGTACCTATAACCCTATATATTTTTTAATCAGGAGGAATTCCTTTTTCCAGCAGTACCTTCAGATAGCGGCACAAAAGAAATCGGAATTGTGCCAAATAAATGAATAAAATTCTTGGTTTTATTAAAAAACGTAATTGTATTTTCTATTGTGATGCAATCATATTATTTTGAACACAACTGAATATATACACTTGTGCTCACATAATTAAGTCACGCCAGTAACAGAACGAAAGTTTATTCAAAGCAACTTTTATGGTACAGGAATGAAACTTAATTTTACAAAAAATGGAAGAAATTTTAATTCAGTTCAAAACAGAATACTTATTTTTTATTTAACTTCTAAAATAATAAAAATATTGCGTTCATTCGCTTAGCCCATCCATGTTGTTGTGCTCATATAATTAAGTCACCTAAAGAAAAATGTAGTCATTCGAAGTATACGACATTTTTTTTGCAGTTCTACCTTACCTAAGACTAATAGTTAGTTCGATAACCTTTATTACGTAGCACCTCAGTACATCGCTTAGGCATTGTTTGGACTAAAGTAGCACATTGAGCGGGACTTATTTTGTACCACTCTGCCTGTATTATTTCCCATAAAGAATCTTTGTTGCGAGGTTTTCGTGCAGCTACGGCTCTTTTTATAATCCCTCCATAGGTTTTCTATGGGGTTTAGGTCCGGACTTTGAGCTGGCCAATTCAGAATTTTAATATTTCGACTACGTATCCAAATTTTAACGACCCGCGAGCAGTGTTCGGGGTCGTTATCGTGCTGGAAAATCCAAGTATTCCTTCGTACATTTCACCTGTCATTTTCACCCGTCTATTTTAACAATCGGGCAAACGCCTGATGACGTGAAGCAACCCCACACCATCATCGATGAACCGCCATGTTTCACGGTTTTTTTTTAGTGTATTTGGGATTGAGTTCTTCCAAAGAGGGTCGTCTTAAATATGGTTTCTTATCATTACCAAATACATTAAATTTGCATTCATCACTCCAAACCACCAAATTCCAAAATTTAGAGTCCTTCCAGAGATGGTCTTTAGCAAACGCTTTTCGCTTTTCAATATTTTTTTTTTTGGAACGTTAGGTTTTCGTCTTGCTAAACGGTCATTCAATGAATTTTCTAGTAGTCATCTTCGTACAGTTTGCGCAGATACTCGTACGCCGTGATATTCCTCTAATTGAGCCCTAATTTCTGTGGAGGTTAAAAATGGATCAGACTTACTTAGCCTTGCTAAGGCCCTAACGTCAGAACGGGTGGTCTTTCTTGGCTTTTTACGCGGTAAATTTTCAAGTTTTATTTTATTTATAAAATTGAACAGCGTTATTAATTTTGCCTCAAGAAAATCCTAAAACATCTACAACTTCGGTAATATTTGGATATTTTGACATTTGATATTCATGACGACGATGACTACAAATTTTGTTAAAAATAACTTAATTTAGTAAAAAAGAACAATATTAATGTAAATTGTGGCGAAAATATTTTAATTTACCCGTTTTAAACAGAATGACTTAATTATGTGCGCACACTTTAATTGACAATGGAAAATTCATTTAAACTCTTTAAAACGAAAATGCGCTGTAAATCGGTGGCGTTCCCAGAATAACGGAACTTTTTGCTCACGCAATATTAGGGATGTTGCTTAAAGAAATATACCTTGTTTTTTACATGTTGTAAAAAAGTACTGAATGACTTAATTATATGAGCACAAGTGTATATATATGTATGTATATATATATATATATATTTACATACATACCCTTTTTAATATCGAAACCAAGGGATGCTTTTCTAAAATTTACTCTTAAATGCAAATATCTCAAAAACCATAATCAGCAGCACTATAAATACACTTTCAATCTAGAGCATCTCCTTTATAATCGATACGTTTTTTAACCATGACGTCTGGGGATGCTATTCTACAATTTACCCTTTAGAACTTCCAATACAAATAAACTTCTCTATCCATACATACCTATTTCAACCCTAAAATCGGGAGATTCTATTCTAAAATTCACCCAAAGATTGTCCATTATGTTTACTTCGCGGGTTTCTATTCTAAATCGAAGGCAAATTCAATTCAGATGCTCAAATGACTTTTTAAGACTTTTATCAAACCTCACCTGCCTCTCCTCATCTTCCTGTCGCTTCGTTCTGTTGATTTGTTCAAGACTTGTTTCAATTTCTTTTTGTCGTTTACGTTTTTTGTCAACACTATAAGTGCAATATTCTTCCGAATCTTGACTGTCACTAGAGCTATTGGCAATATACGTCTGTTTTCTAAAAAAAAATGAACAATATTAGATACTTATTTCATCATAAATATATATATCTTTAGATAATGAACACCTATATTTTGAATGCCTAGTTTCCCGAACATCTTTTTCAAATTCATGATTTATAGAGACCCTGCATTTATTTTTTTTATTTATAGAAATAGTATTCCGATATTTTTCCTCAGACCGATCACTTCCATGCACACCATTCTTACGTCTGTTACGGTCTTTTCCTCTCTTTTTATGCTTATTTTTATGATGGTGCCGTTTTAATGGGCTTCGCGATGAACGAGAGCTTCCCATAATCAATTTGACAACGAAATACAACCAAAATTAGCTAAGAGCATAAAAACTCTAAATGCTAAGAAGCAATACTATTTAAAGAGGTATCTCTACAGTCAATAGAAATTGTCTAGACATTTTTATAGGACTTCTCGACAGGCAAAAATTTATGGCGTACTAAATGTCAAATTTTTTAGTAGGAACAGTGGCACGCTACTGCCTTCCTTCCTTTTCCTTCCTTATCTAGCAAAATGTGTGAACAGTTGCAAACGTGGCAAAAACACAGAAATCAAAAATCTTCGTTTGTTTTAATTTGAACAACGTTGCCATTGCTCAATACGCATATATAGTTTTCTATGTTTTCAATTAAAAATTTTTTATAATATAAAATATTAAAATTGAAAACAAACTAATTAAAGTTTATTTATTTATAAAAAATAGCATTTGACTCCGATTTTGAGTTATTTTAAGAAAATTTCAAAAAAATTGAATTATAAAAGTTGGTAATTACTACAGTATATAGATATTGGCAACCCTGCGTTGTGAGAGAGCAATCAGCTGACACGTTTCGACGGCAAAAGTCCAAATGCTGTGAATTCTCACGACATCCTACGTCAAAGAGAGAAGGGAGTAGCGTTTTCACTGTGCACTTACATCATGGATAAAATGATACCATACTCTTTCATTCGCGAGAGAGCTGTCAAAACTCGCATTTTTTATAACACTTGCCAATGATGCCACTGCTGAAAATTTTCAGATAGGGTATTTAATAAATTATACAAAGCACTAAATTAAACACTTTGAAAATGCGTACATATATAAATGCTAAAATGCAAAATCATTAATTAATTTATGTTTTGTTTTTGCGGGTGACAATCTACATATGAACGCATATCTAATGTAATTGTGTATGCATTATTTGTGTGCCAATGTCATACGAACATATTTATGTACATATAAGCAGCGCGCACATGTTATTATTGATAAGTGATAATATGATTTGAATTCGCGAAAGCGAACATAAACACATATGGTCAAGAAACATGTGATACATAGATAAGTTTTGAATGATTAAATGTATGATTAATGTACATTTATCACTATTGTAAATATATTTAATTTTTTTAATATATTATGATAGTTTGTTATATAAATATGTAACTACGAATATTGCTTTGATAAGTAATTTAATTCAAATATATTCAATTGCACATGTATTTATTAATATGCACAAAAAGAATTTATACGAAAACATATGTTTGCATATAAACGTATAAAAATATAAGCAAAAAAGCGAACATACGTCTGTTAGAGCAATATATAGTTTTGAGCATAATTTTTATATCACGCTCAGCTCTGTTCAAACGAAAATATTAATATTTCTCCTGGCGAGCTGGCAGTGGTGAAACTAGCTCAACTCGATCAAGTTAGCCAAAAATATTTTTACGATCACCGCGCCGTGAACCTTCTCTATGATAGACGTTCTCTGCTACGGTTATACGTTCTCCTCTGTTCCTGTTATATTGCTATTGACATTGCCAAATCTGAATGTGGGCATTTGTTATCATACCATAATCATTTGCGAAAAGGCGTCGGGTAGGTACGTTGGAATCACCAATTCGTGAACGCATATCTTTAATTTATCCATACCGTTCTTGAGCGCACGAATCACCAGATGCCACGATATGCTTGAACAATTTCGGTCGTATATCGATATCGGCCATTTGTATGGTGCTAAACAATAACCCTTAAAACCTTTATCATACAACCATAGGGTAACGGTAGAAAAGAAAGAAATTTTTTATTAGTAAAATTCGTTAATTTAATACAATTGATAACAACTACAGTGGTTTCCAATGCTACTCGCTGTTCCATCTCGATGTCATGTTGTTGTTTTGTTATATCGGCAGAATTCTGCCGAGTTGGCAGTCCTTGGCCTGATAAAAATCCGGGTCCGTTACGGTTACGTAGACACGGCTGTCGTGGGAACGGATCTCGATGTCATCTCTTTCAATGTTGCAAGTTTTCAATAACTTAACTCCCAGTTGTACAGTTTATTTCAGACTGAAGGCATAGATAACTTGATACGAGACTCTTTGATTCGAGAGAGAGCTGTCAAAACTCGCATTTTTTATAACATTTGCCAAGGATGCCTCTGCTGAAAAATATTAGCTTGGGTATTTAATAAATTATACAAAACACTAAATTAAACACTTTGAAAATGCATACATATATAAATGCTAAAATGCAAAATCATTAATTAATTTACATAAACATTTATTTTGCCAARGTATGTTCGCACAGTTCAATGAAATTTCATTTCACACTAATTTCTGGCATCCCGCCTTTTTCACTAACTGCTGGTTGAAGGCACCCTGATTGTGTTCTGTTGCCAGCTCAGAAAACAGATCAGGTGCCCTGCCAGCTGACAAGTGAGAGAGCAAGAAAAGAGATTCTGATCAAGTTATCTATGCTGAAGGCTAAATTTGAATCCACACATATATATAAGAGAAACTTGTTGCTAGCAGGCAACGGGAGTTTACAGTTACGAATATTGCTTTGTACTCGTATATACATAAATGTCTTGAGCAGTTCTAACACTCCTACTCAACGCAATATGTCATTAAACAATTAAAAGTTAACATTTCCATTTTAATATATACCGCTGATACATATTTTATTTCAATTATTTTGTCCTTGACCATTTGCCGGACATGACGGATTATCTTGATAGGCAAACCTGGGAAAGACTTAACACAGCCGTATTCATACAGACCAATTAGTCTTCTACCCTGTCTTTCAAAAGTATTTGAAAAAGTATTACTCTCAAAGATGGCTCCTTTCCTCTATGAAAATAATACAATACCAATGCATCAATTCGGTTTTCGTGCGAAACATGGCACCTTAGAGCAAGTACAAATAATTACTAACGAAATAAGAAAAGCATTCGAGCACAGGGAGTACTGTTCAGTCATATTTCTAGATATAGCTCAAGCATTTGATAAGGTGTGGCACGAAGGTGTTTTATACAATATTAAAAAAAAAATCTACCTTTAGAATTGTATAAAACATTGGAGTCTTATTTAAAAAATAGAAAATATATGGTAAAAGTGGGATATTTTATATCTGATGAACTAAAGATAAGGGCTGCTGTATTACAGGGCAGTGTTTTAGGCCCAACTCTATACATCATATGTACAGCAGATCTCTAACAGCTAACAATGTATTAAATTACCTTCAACTTTTGCGGACGACAACAAAAGTGTAAGCATGTCACATTTTCGCTTAGACCAAAAATGTGTCCGGCAGTAAAAATTAACAATATTATAGTACCCCAAGCGAATGAAGTAACTTATCTTGGTATTCAATAGAAGACTTACGTGGAGAAATCTTGCAATGAAGATAAGAGCTGCAAATTTCAATTTGCTATTATATAAAAACTCCAAACATAGCCTAGACAACAAAGTGCTTTTATATAATGCGGTCATAAAGCCGATTTGGATGTATGGCATGCAACTGTGGGGTACGACCTATGCAACTAATATTGATATATTACAAAGGTTTCAATCAAAAATGTTCTACACTACAATCACGTGTTCACCATGGTACATGCGTAATGAAAATATCCATAAAGACCTTGGTATTTCTATGGTAAGGAAAGCAGTAGAATACAGCAGAATTAAATATATATATATCTAAACGCCTTAAAAGAAGAGATATGCCTGCGTACTAAGAAACAATGTATTACCAAAACAGCTCAATCACCTGCTTGAGCGTGTCTGGTTTTTACATAAATTTAAGATTTTATAACTTGTGGTTAGGCTTTTACAACAAACAGCAGATTCAATAAATAAAAAGATATTGAAACAAAAACAAAAAAATGATGATACTTTATATCTACATGCTTACTGCGCGCATGATATTTCGAATCTTTTGCTAAAAAATGCGCACTTTGGTTTTAAATTTTTTTGTTGCATTACCATCACTCAAACTCATCTCGTTCATGACTTTGCGGATATACACTGCTTATTTAGCAGCCGTTGACAAAGCTATGTACTCCGCCTCAGTGGGGTAGGGGTAGTCAGAGGCACGAAAACAATTTTCAGTATTTTTTTGGGCTATTAAATCGTGTTATATTAAAAAGTAGTAATATGGCATTACTATAGAATGTGTTAACTTGAAGTCACGAAATTTAAAAAAGAATTTCATTTCCAAAGTTATAGTTGTTTGTGACAACCATAAGTCCTTGGAGAATCATCTAAAATTAATCGGACAAAAAAAAAAAAGTTTTATAAATAGATAATCCTGGGCCTGATTGAAGGATTTTTTAGTTTTGTGAAAAACGCATTTAAAGTTTCACACTAGCGCTTTGAAGTGCCGAGCTCTCTTTGTTATTTGTCGAATAACTAAAAAACTAATTATCGGATCAACGTAAAATTTGCAGAGAATATTTCTAAGAATTACACTTAACGAAAATGCAAAAAAAACTGATACTTTTTTGAAAATTCTGACTACCCCTTGACCCTTAAGGCCACGACGACCTGTTTCTTCGATTCCCAAGAGATCACTGCTCCTGCTGCAAGAAACGTCCAGCCGCTATACGATTTTCGATCTATGCAATCTCCAGCCCAATCAGCATTAACATAACATTCGATGGGGTTTCCAGTTCGTTGGTAGTGCAGACTCAGCTCAGCAGTGCCCTCAAGGTATCGCAAAACTTGCTTGACACCCACTTCCTGTTCCTTATGAGGATTTGCATTACGTTGTGAAAGCTTCGTAACAGAGTATAAAATATCTGGCCCGGTTGTTATGGCTAGATCAGTGGTCGGCATGAGAGGATCTGTCACTGTGTTGGTGAGCATGAAAAAAAGGTAGCTCAGTGAGAAATTGGAATTAAAATTAAGTAAATTTTATAAACAAAATTATAAAATAAATTATTGTTCAATAACATTTTAAAATTAAATATGTTTTCACTACGTT